CCTGCCTTGGTAGATGGAGTTTCCCCACCTGAGTCGTTCCTATACCAATTAAATTGGATCACAGGCCCAGTCCCCATCCCTTTGACTACAGAAGGGTTAAGAGATGTGGGGTCAATGACTTTAGAAGATGGAAGTCATATAATGGTTTTTATGGAGAAGGGGGCAGTTAGGTGGCGCAGTGGACAGAGCACCAGCCTTGAAGTCAGGAGGATCTGAGTTCAAATCCAGTCCCAGATCAAACACTTGACACTTACTAGCTATGCAACCCTGGGCAAGTCACTTAACTCCAACTGCCTTAAAAAAAAAAAAAGAATGGGAGAGACCTGAGAATGTTTGTCAGCAGTAGGGAAGGAACAATTAATAGACAGATTGAAGATTCTAGAGCAAAGGAAACTGATAATCACTTATTTCTCCCACCTTTTATTGCCATCCTAAAGCTCTCTACTATGTTTCTAAACCTCATGCAGTTCTAAGCCCCAGAATCTCAGAGCTGGAGGGGATCCCACAGGACATTTAGTCCAAACCATACCTATAAAAGAACCCTGTGTACAATACCCCTGCCAAGAGGTCACTGAGCTTTGGCTTGTGGAGTCCACTTATTCCCAAGGCAGCCCATTCCACATTTTCCATGAACAGTGCTATTCTAGATTTTTTTTTAACCTGAACAAGACATGTTCTTCCACTGCTGCATTCTAGTTATGTATCTTCAGTTCAGTTGTTTTTTAAGTCGTGTCTGACTCTTTGTGATCTCATTTTTGGGATTTTCTTGGCAAAGGTACTGGAGTGGTTTGCAATTTCCTTCTTCAGTTAGTTTTATAGATAAGGAAACTGAGGTAAACTGGGTTAAATGACTTGCTCAGGGTTATGTAGCTAGTAAGTGTCTGAGGCTGGATTTGAACTCAGGTTTTCCTGACTCCAAGCCTGGCGCTCTATCCACCGCATCATCTAGCTGCCCTAGTTATATATCTACTAGAATGTAATTAGGGGCCATATTCCATTTATCACTGGTTTTCCTCCAGTGCTCGGTACAAGTTAGATACAATAGGTGCTTAATAAGTTTGTATCGAATAAATGAAAGTATCTCCCAAACCACTAAGTCTTGGGGATTCTTATGAAGTCATATTTACATATTTGTGTTTAAATTTCAAGTTCACCTTGCTTATTATGCACAACCTATATAATGACACAGATATCTGAAGTTGTGAACATTGTTTCTGGTCCTTTTATCTATGATTACCTCTTAAGAATAAATAGGGTACATGTCTCCTTATTTCCAGGTATTCTCTATAGCGTCTAATTTTGCCTATTCTATCTATTTTTTGAACTCTTTCCTCTCTGTCTCTAATTACAGTTTAATGCCCTCTTACTCAGGCTGCCAAGCATGCTCTTCCTAGTATTCATAAGATGCCCTCCATCCTTAGGCAAGCATACATCATTCTGATATTGTGAGTCATGAAGCAACAAATCTTATTTTTTGATACCATCGACATAGACAGCTGTTCACTTTCAGTATCCTCCTTTCTAAAAGCTTCATCATTTAATTAAAAGTAGTGGTTAAAATCCCACTCATGGCTCCCCAGGACCTTCATTTTACTGCTCAGGGCTTCCCAGTCCTTATAGATGTTTTATGGCAGCATAATTCATCCCCACACAATCGTTACGGGGATTAGCTGATGAATCTGATGAATTTCACAAGGTTCTTAGCTTCTGAATACACATTCCAAAATGACAACATATCTAAATGGCTGTCAGGGGTGCAAAGTCACTCTCCATACCACCAAGCAGGGTTACACATCTCTTCCTTCTATGCCCAGTAGATTCTTTCCTCACACATCCTGGCACTCATACATCTTCTTTATTATTCCAAAGAGCACGAGACACTACTTTTGCCTCAAGAGCTCCAGATCCATGATCCAGATCCAGACCCACCAGAAGAACCTTACATGTAGCTCCAACAATTCCATTTTTTCCCTTTCTTCTCAAGTGGCATGTACTTCCATTTACCAACCTCGTGGTTTAGAGCGCTGATCTTGTCTACAGTCCTAGAATGAGAGGGCTGCATGAGAGAGAGATCATCTAGACCAATCCCCTCTTTTTTCAGAAGAGGAAATAGGTCCAGTGAGGTTAACTGACCTAATAATAACAGCTAGCATTTATAAAGCTCTTTAAAGTCTGCAAAGTGCTTTAGAAACATTATCTCATTCTTATCCTCGTAACAACCCTGGAAAATAGCTACCCTCATTTTACAAAGGAGGAAACTGAGGTAGATAGAGGTTAAGTGACTTGCCCAGGGTCACACAGCTAGTAAATGTCTGAGGCTGGATTTTAACTTAAGACTTCCTCACTCCAGGCCTAGTGCTGTATCCAGTGTGCCACCTAACTGACTTATCATCTTCTTATTTTTTCCCCCAAACCCACCCCTTTCCTGAACTTCCCTATTTCCAACCTAGGACACCAAGTTAAGTTGACAAGTCAACCATCCTTTGAGTCGCCCAGGTTTGCACCCTCAGCGTTGTTTTTGCTACAATGTATAAGTGCAGATGCCTGGTTAGTCACCTATATACCCCCTTCGGGAATTCCCTCGCCTTATTATTACAGATAAAAGACAAACTGCTTTCATTTGCCTTTAAATCTGCCTTCACAGCCTTGCTCCAGTTTGCCTTTTTGGTAACACATTCTTCTTCTACCCACAGGTAAGGTTTTGGCTTATTCACTATTGCCAGGACACAAGATTCCACATCCCTCCTCCAGGCCTTTACACAGGTTCCCCCACACCAGAAATGCTCTTCCTTTCAACAGTACCTCTTTAAACTCCTCACTTCCTCTACGGCTCAGCTCACATGTCACCTCCTACTCAAAGCCCTTCCTGATCTCCTCACGTTTGATCTCTCTCCTCCTGACTGATCTTGTTTTGTGTGTACTTATCTGTGTCCATGTTATATTCCCCAAGTAGAATGTGAGCTCCCTGAGAACTCTTATTTTTGACTTCATATCCCTAGTGTCTAGAGACCATCATGTCCAACCTCCTCATTTAACATAGGAGCAAACTAAGGCAGAGGCAGTGAAAGGACTTGCTCTGGGGCACACAGCTAGATAAGTATCTGAGACAGGACTTGAACCTTGGTTTTCTGACTCCAATTCTAGTGTACCACCCACTATACCCCCAATGCCTCTTCTATTATTCCTTAAGCACACTCAGAACAAGGGAGTCTTAAGGGACCCATGAACTTGTCTCTTTAATATTTTAGTAACTGTATTTTGATACAATTGGTTTCTTTTACTGTTTTATACATTTAAAAACACTGTTCTGACAACAAAGCCTTAGACCAATGTGAATGTTAACAAGCATAAGGCCCACCTGGAATATTCCAAATCACTTGATTCTTCCTGCCTGTTCTCTTTGATGCTGGGCTCCTGCTACCCGACCAAAGCCTGCCACTGAAGCAAAACTGACCTCATCACTCGCCTATGAACATACTAGATGTGCTTCTGGCTCTGTGTCTTTGTTCACAGTGTTTGACTTGCACTAGAATGTCCTTCCTCACTTCTCTTTTGATCTAAGCCTTACACAATCTTCCAGGTCCAAATGTAGCCTTTTGTCTTCTAACCCCCCAGGCAAGAGCAATCTCTCCCTCTGAACTCCATGACTGTGCAGCCTGCTCACTTGGCACTTACTAAAAGCTACTCTCTTTCTGCTCCCTGTCCTGTGATCTCATCACCCCTATCAACGCAGACTGGCACCTAATTACAGTCTTAAAACAATCATCTGGGGACGATGAAAAGTTAAATGACTTGCCCAGGGTTACACAGCTAATACAAATCAAAGGCAGGACTTGAACCCAGATCGATCCTGACCCTGAGGCCAGCTCTTGGTCTACTACACCACACTGCCTCTCATAACCTCATTAGGACGTTATATTTGATTTCCAAGTAACAGGAAGACATTGCAATGTGTTGAGTAGTGATGCGAGGAATGACCTATGTTTTAGGAAAATCTCTTTGGCAACTATGCAAAGGATGGATTGGAGTCTAATGAGAAGGCTAATGAGGCTATGAGAGGCTGTGGGGTTCTGAGGGAGAGATTGCTGTTGGCTTGGGGGTTAGGGAAGGCTTTATAGATCTCCCTGCCTCAAGTCTCCCTACTCCAATCCATCCTCAGCACAGCTGCCAAAAAGATTCTCCTTAAAGCACAGGTCATTCTTCATGTCACTACTCAATGCACCACAATGGCTTCCTATTACTTTGGAATCAAATATAACCTCCTTTGTTCAGCATTTAAAGCTCTTACAACTTTGCCCCTTGCCATCTTTCCAGTCTTTTAACACATTACTACCCTCCACAAACTCTCTAGTTCAGTCACAAATAGCCCGTTTGCTGTTCTCCACAAAACACTCCATCTCTTATTTGGGTTCCTTTGCACTGGCTGTCCCCCGTGCTGGAATGATTCCCCTTACAACCTCTGACTCTCAGACTATCCCTGCTTCCTTTAAGACACAGCTCTTGCAAGAAGTCTTTCTAAATCCTCTCAGAAGCTAGTTCCTCTCAGGTTATTTTCCATCTAGTCTGAATTTATCCTGTACGTACTGATTTACATAGATGTGGTCAGCCCCATTAGAATTTAAGCTGTTTGCAGGCAGAGGCTATTTTTTGCCCCTTTTTGTATCCTTAGTGTTTAGCACAGTGCCTAGCACAAGGCAGGTGCTTAATAAATACTCGTTTGTTAATTGCTATTTTAATTAGTATTTATCTTTATGTTATACATCCTACTTCCTCAAGAATGAAAATTCCACAGGAATCATGTCTTCTTTATTTCTTAGAGTGATTAGTAGAGTTTCCTGCAAATAGTGGGTGGCAGTATTTACTGTTGCCAGCAATGATCATGAGGGAGGGACCAGTCATGACCAGTGTAGTAAATGGACACCCCCACCTTCCGCTGGTGGAGTCTGCTCTGCCACTGGAGAGTTGGCAGAAATGCTCACGCTGCTCCCCATGAGCCCTACCTTGAGCAGCTTTTCTTTTTTGCGACGCCATTCCTCCCACTCATTAACAATTCGGCCCCAGAGAATCCAAGTGTCTTCCTCCAGGTGGCTGAGGTTGGAAGAGGCTGAGGAGCTAGAGACCAAGGAAGAACCGCTGTTTCGCCGGGAACCGTTCATGGAACGCATCGACTTGGAGTCAGCCTCCAGAAGTCTGGGGGTGGGAGGACAAAGAGAGCACAGAAGCAACCGTCACCATAAAACTGTCAGACTGCTCTCTCTTTCCTGGGCACTGAGTGCCATGTTCCTAGTGGAGGGCCTCGGGCCTCAATGAGTCTTTTGGTTCCTACCAGCTAGCCTTTGCCTGGGTGGGCCCATACGTGCAGCTCAATGACAATGCAGTTTTAGGGGCCCTGTTCAGCAAACGAGGAGTAAGAAGTGGAGAGAGATGCGGTAGCTATTGCAAGAGCAGCATCCGAGACCCCTAACATCAGGTCAGTTCAATCCCAAACCACTAAGGTCCGAGTCCTATCCAGTCTCCCAATTCTAATGCTCATTTTATACCTCCCCACAATCTCCCCTCACCCCAGGACTTTCTGCCTCTCTCTCCCCCCGCCCCACCCTCAATCCCTTGAATCCTCCCTTTCTTCATGTGTCTGCCTTGAACGACAAGTTTTTAAAGGCCAAGAAATCCATGCAGGATTTTGTGTAATTCCTAATATAGCATCATCTACAATTTGACCCTTTAAGAAATACTTTCAGGTTGGTAAAAATGACAGCTCTTTTTCCAGGCCTTACTTAGGAAGCAAATGTCATTTTTTTCACTCACCGATTCTGTTCCTCTAGTTTGGCCAACAACTCCAGTTCATCTGGGCTGAGGTTCTCAGAATCTGAGGTGGGGGAACAAGCAGGGCCTGAAAGGGCCTCATGGGAAGAGGAGTCAGGGCTGAGGGCTGGGCTCGCCATGCCGGGAAGGCTCAGGGTCTCAGGGACGTTCATCAGAAACGGTTATGGATGGGGGAAATTGAAGGGGAAGAGAAGAGATTCACAGGAGGCTCAAATGAGGGAGGTTACAACTCCATCTGCAGTATGAGAGAAACACAGGTTTAGTTATGCAAAATACTGACCACATAGTGTGTTCTCAATAAATCTTTGATTGATTTCTATCCACATTCTCCCCTGACTCCTTCAATTCTGTCTACATCAATGAGTTTACCAATCACATCTTTTCAGCCCCATACAATTAACAACATTATTTGCCTTTACTCACTGACCAATTAACCAATTCTCCCAATCCACCACTGCCCCCTTGCCTTCTAGCCAAACCTACAAAGCTAGCCAGCATCCTTCCCATTTTCAGAACTTGACTCCTCTACATGACTCTATCATTGAAGGGGGAAAGATCAGAATGGATCCTTAGGGAATAAAGAGGGTAATTTCCTGTGACACATAGGGTCACGGATAAATTCTAAGCAAACAGTAGACAACAAGACTTGATTTTTGAATATTCAAATTACCAAATACAACTCAACAGCATACCCCCCAAGTCTTAACAATACCCCATAGTACTCCATACCAACAATATTCTATAGTACTTAAGGTTCCTGCCAGAACCCCACAATATACCACAGTGCTTACAGAATGCTGAAAGAATTCAGGCACAGTGCCTAGAGAATATGGGCCATTAATGCTATGGATGCTACTGCTTCTGCATTCCTTCCTGATCACCCCTGTCCCCCTCACAATGCTCTCCCACCATACTGCTCTCCAAGCTGAGCATCTGATAGTTCTCATCTCATTTACTAGAGTGTGCTATTGGCACTGACAGAGGCAATTACCACTCACCATTAATTATGTGGCTGTTTGTTAATGGGCCAAAAAAGTCAGTTTTTCCTTAGCAGGGAGCCCAGGATTGATCAAAGCACTGGCAATTTGTCCTTTTGGTTATATGGGCCAATGTCAGATGGCTCCTGATCTCATTCCCCAGTCACTCCCCCATACCCAGTGGAACTCTTGGGACTCTGCATTGGCACTCCTGATGAGCACCTACTTAGCTCTCACCTATTTAGTATCAGGATCCCCATCTACCTACTTTTAAAGACACTGCCTTTTCACCTCCTGTTGGGAGGCATAGGTAGAATGGTCAAAATATACTTTCTACCAGATAAAACACACAGGTAGTACAAGGCTCCAAGAGTCAAGATATGGGGGGGGGGGTGCCTTGGCATGCCTGGTACTGCTCGGCTTAACAAATCCTTTCTCTTTTCAATAGGTAGGCTTAGGGATCAAAGCTTTAGAGTACATGGCCCAATCCCACAGCTCAGATACAGCTCTGGGAAATGAACTGATGTTACTGCTCCTGCTTAGCCACATTTACCATGACTGAGAAGGTAGCACACCTGTTCAATATTACCAGAAAGGGAATTGATGAGGACTATGGAGATAGGCATGAGAGCCTAGACTCCTGATTCCTTCATATGCTTCTTCCATTATACCGCATATTGCTTTTTCCTGCCCCAGTATTATGACAGAAATGCCCTTGCCCTTCTCTGTGGGAAGAAAAAGAATCAGTCACACTTAGATGTCTAAAACAGGTCGAAGGTTCACCGATTCCCATTCACCTTGTAGGAAACTCAAAGAACTTCCTTCTGTTCTCCCCACAGCCTCCAAATGTGATGAACAACCTGTGAAGCAGCTCCCTTATCAACTACGAAGCAAAGTAAATTATTTCTGGAAATGCCTCTCTCTCAGACTCCCCTTCCAGCTGACAGTCCCAAACAACAGGGCCAACCTTACCATTCTATCTACATCTTTGCCAGTATACTGACCCTCCAGTCCCAGAAACAACCTACCGATGAGTCCAAGGGAGTTGTTTTGACTCAGTGAAGTTGACTTCAGCCTAACTGGGGGTTAATCATTCTTAAGATTCTGACAACGCAGTCCACTCAAGCGCTTCCTGAGAGAGTCAAAGTCTGCAGCTGGGGCTGGAAGGAATTGAATTGTGAACAGAAAATGCTGAGTCTAAAGGATTCACCCAAAAATTTAAGGGGAAGGGAGGGAAGGAGAGAGGGCAAAATAAGTGCACAACGGAGATTTCCAAACTAGCTGGAATTATGGAATCATCATAATTACTGCCTAAATTTGTCTGAGAGGAGCATACAACAGACCACATGTGGCCAGTGGAGATAGAACTAGGACTCCTCTGCTCCTTTTTTTTTTTTTAAACAAGGAGGGGCATTGAGGCTGAAAAGGTAGAATGAATAAAGAGGGCAGAAGAATTGTTCCAATATCCTTAACATCAATTCCAGGAAGAAAACCTACGAGTTCCGATTCCTTATTCCTTTTTCCTACTCCACTACATCAGATAAGGTGAGGGGATAGCCTGGACTTGGATTTCCAAAACAAAACTACAGTGGGAAATTACTAGAGATCAGCCAGGTGTTTCTCACATGAATGAGTAGTTTTTGCAGAGAGTCAAAATTATTAAGCAACATCAGTCTGAGATTTGCAAACTTAAGGACAAGATGTTCATTAGACTAGTATGAAATTCACTTCCCCACCACTTTCCATAAAATCCTTGCTGCTTCTGACCCCTTAGCAATCTTCCGTTCTGCTTGGCCACAATGCCTGGGCACTGGAAAAATCTTCTATTGGCTATGAGACACATCCCTTCTTGACACTGCTATGACTGGCCTCATCCTGAAATGATATCACAACACCCTTACCCAGAAATAGCTTAGAATAGAGTTTGAGCTACTGACTTTTTTGCTATATATTTCATATAAGATTTCACCCTTCTTCAAAATGGCATCTCCTTTCCAGAAATATAGTTATTTTTTCCAGATCTTTGTATACCAACAAAGCAAGGAGAGTTCTCTCTGCCAAGAAGGAGCAAGGAACCCAAATTTTCCTCCCTGTGGAAACATTTTATTTCAGTTCATGCTCTCCAGCTTCTCCACCCTCCCACCTGAGTTCCCTCTTCCTCCCCCCCATCCCACACCACGTTCCCAATCTCCCACTTATGCCTGTATAACAGCTGTTTCGGTCCTTAAGAACACAGACTCCTTCCTAGTGCAAAGACTCCAAAGGGAAACACATTTTCTAGATCGTCTAATATAACTGTTAGCCTTTAGAGCATCAATATACACCAGGCATTTCCTGGATGATAACTGACTTCAATCTACAGAGAACAGTCTGATAATCCTAATAAAATGTGATACTCTTTTTCCTGGGCACTACTTTTCCAAAGAAACAAAAAAAAAGTTTTCCCACCCTCAGGATGGCAAAATTGGAGGCTCTGCTCCAACATAAACACAAGTCATTTCAGAATTCAGTCACTGGTCAATAGGAACTCTATAACAGTGTAACAATGGAAACCTTTCACTGGATTAACAGAACCTATTTCTATCACCTCAATTACGCTGCTCTACCATCCTATATCTATTCAACTTCTATCTCTCTCATTCATTTTGGGAAAGGTGTAGAAACTTCCTTTGGACTTCCACGGTCAAAGCGCATACTCTGTTTCCACAGTTTCTGGCTTCTCTCATCCTTAGAAAAGGGTGAAGCTGGAAGGGAGCTGACAGGTCCTCTAATCTGACCCCCTCATTTTGCAGATGGGGAAATGGACCCAGAGAGGAGAACGATAGTGATTAAAATAACTGACATTTATATAGTGCTATAACTTTACAAGCTCCGTTACACACCTCATCTCATTTGATTCTTGGAACAATGCTGGGAGGCAGGCACTCGAGGGAGAATAACCCCCATGTTACAGATAATGACATTCCCCTCAGAGAAGCGAAGTTACTTGCTGATAGCCAGACACCTAGCGTCAGAGGTGGAAGCTCTCTCCTGACTTCAAATCCAGTACAATTCCTAATAGATCACAGCATTCCTTGGGAAGGAATTTGTCCAAGGTTACAAAGCAAGTAAGTGGCGGAGCTGGCACTTAGATCCGTTTGAGTTAGCACTGCAAATTGCTCTTTCTCATCTTATGCAGGCTCTCAATGCCCAGTGGATGTTCCTTGTTTGATGATAGATGCTGGTTCACAGTAAGCTCTTATTATTATTTATTATAACTATTAGAAGTATTAGTAATAACAGAAGCAACATATCCAAGGTGCTGATGCCTAAAGAGAAGGACTGTCATGACGGGAACATTCCACCTGACCTGGAAAGTAGGCTTCAATCCACACCTTGCAGGTTTTCTGCCTTTGTGACCAGTTCACTGTTAGGTTAATTAATTCTGTGTTGCCTCAGTTTCTTTCTGAGCATGAGAGAAAGAATGAACTTGTTAAACCATGACAAAAGCAGGGAGATGATGCATTGGTATCCAGCAAGGGTTCCTGGTTCCTTAAAAATCCAGAACCAAGGAGTCGGAAGAACAGATGATATTCTCTTTCATTTTCATGGTTTGGTTGGAAGTAGACCTTTAAGAGAAGCTTTCCTCAAAGCCTATAAAAGCCTTGATGGGAAAACAATGAAGGGGGCAGATCAACTCATCTCTTGAGAGTTCTCAGAGGAAAGGGAGACAGATTAGTCCAAATGCTGGCCATCTGACCTTTCTGCTTTTTGACTTGAGGTATAGTTCTTACAACCCAATCTACACATTGGGTTCTACATATCATGTAGGACCTACATATCATGTGAGTCAAATAATAGCTGAGGCAATATGGCATTCCAGAATGAGCATAAGATTTGGAGTTAGAAGACCTGGGTTCAAATCCTGCTTTGCTTGGATGGGGGGGGGAAATTGTGCTACTTCTTGAAGCCTCAATTTCCTAATTTGTAAAAAAAAAAAAAATGAAGGGAGTCTCTCCCAGCTCTAAATTCTATGATCCTATGACACATACTTGTCACAGTGGTCCTATTCACAAAGTTAACATCTTTTTTTTCTTCAATGGACAGCTTTTCAATTTGGTGTCAATCTGAACATAGTCCAGAATGCTGTACTTTAACAAGGGAACTTCAAATCCAGGTGCTACTCTTTCTCAATGGCACATTCATATTCTTAACTTCTACAATCTCTGTGATGCCCTCAGCTCCTAATGGCTCTGGAGCTCTTCCCCAACACTGCCTATGAAGGTGAAGCTTTAAGTATTCTACGATCTTAGCTCCCTACTTCATACAGTGAAAAATATGATACCCCAGGAGGCTGTTGTGCTTTCAAGAAAACAAATAGAGATTCATCCTTTCTTAAGCTCTGAACAGGCCCTTTCCCAATCTCAACTTGTTCTGGATTTCCTTGTATCATCACACAGGACAGACTGACCTAATCCCTCAGTTAGCTGTTATTCCTGCCAGTTCCATTTCAGGCAAGATTTCTGATCAGCCACAAAGGGTTAACTAAGGAGACAACCCCCCCCCCCCATATCTAAGTATAGCAGTAACACAGGTTTTATAGGCTTCTATTTTAGCTACCTAGCCATCTATCACGTAGGATAAGTTCAGTGATGGAATTGAAATGGTCCTCCTTCCACACTCTTACTGATTTCCTCTACATTGAACATAAGATAACCTGGAGGGAAGAGGAGACAAATACACTGTCACCTTGCTGTTGTTGTTTTTTTAACTTCCACAGTCTGATGTCCAAAATGGGCCAGAGGACCCTAAGAGATTACACTGGAAGAGACCTTAGAGCCTGCGAGCCTAAGCCCATCATTTTAAAGATGAGGAAACTAAGGCTTGGAGAGGTGAAAAATGACTTATTTAAGGTTGTAGAGCTAGTTGGTAGCACAGCTGGGATAATTTGAACCCAGGTCTCTCACTACAAACCTAGCACTCTTTCTACTGCACCATGGAAGGCATAAGGAAAAGGGAACAGTAAATATTTGTTGGACTGAACTGAATTTAGGGCAGGGCTCAGCCCTGGGAATTCTCAATAATTTTTCCTTCCATTTTTCAGACCAAGAAACTGAGACACTGAGAGAGGAAGGGTTTGCTCAGAGGTGTAGAGAGTCAACAGCTTGGTCACCCAAGGAGCCTCAGGCTCCTTCCTTTGTTAGTGCTTCACAGCATTTTCCACGAGAAAGTTTGTAAAACTGTTTCCTAACCTGAATGATAAGGTCAGGACTCTAAAGTTCGTCATGTTCATTCTCACAATGGCCCACCAGGAATAAGAAGCAACCTTGCTGCTGTCAAACACTCCAAACTGTCCCTTTCATCCTTCCTCATGTCACCTCACCAGTTCTATATGGCTGACTTGACTCTATCTAGCCAGCTTTCTATGCCAGTTGCTAACCCACATGGAATTCCTTCCAAATCACCCCACAGCTATCCACAGGAGCTCAGGGGAGCCCACAGGTCAAACCAACTGCTCTGGCACTGTCCTCTTGCCAGAAAGCAGAAACTGGGATAGAGGCAAGATGACAGGCAGTTAATGCCACCTGGAAAGATGGAAACAGATAGCTTCAGACAGAACAGTAAGCTTTCTTCTTCTAAATCTCAACCCAGCCCAGAGGCAAAAGAAAAATGAAGTGACCTATTCACTAATTTTTTACCCAAGCCTTCTAGTACATTTTCCTTTCTAAAAAAATGCCTCAACAAAGAGATGCCTGCTCTTGGCAGCCTTACATCCAACCCCACTGTGCCCCAAATGCCACAACCTATTGAAGATATTTCATTCTGACAAAACAATCCAATCAAAGGTGAGAGACTAGATTCTTGCTATCAAGGTGCGCCCCAATTAACAGCCACAGAAAGGGTGAGCAGACTAATGCCATCTGAAGGTCGGCATCATCAGATGAAGTCAGGATGCCACCCAACCAGTCTGGTCAGCCCTTAAGACTAGCAACTTATGCACCTCCTGCAGCTGAACACACTGAGTTAGTGGGCTGGTTAAGCAATGTAAATTGGGATGTATGCATTGGAGGGGGAATAGTGCTGATTCACAGAATCGCAGAGTTGGAAGGGACCTTCGGCATGAATTGGACTAGATGACCTCTGAACAGAACTCTCTGCCACGACATTCCCAACAAGTCACCACAGAGTCTTTCTTTGCCTGATTTTGGTTGACAAACCCCCTCTGCTTGCTTCTCCTTGACCTTTGCCTTTTTCCAAGTTTCTTCTCAATACCCTCTGCTCCTCACCTCTCCAGGTACCAGTATGGCCTTAGGTACTAGAGATCAGGTCATACCCCCTTCCCTATACTGTACCTCACTTGTACTAGGATCAGCCTAGGAAGTCACTGGTCAAACTCCAGCACAGCATAGGACTTCAAGGCTGACTTCTAAGGCAGGTCTCAATACCTTACAATTCTGGAGTAAGGATCAGAGGAATTCTAATGATCAGGAAAAAAAATGGGGTGAGGACAAGGAAAGGGTTTTGAGTAACATCAGTGCTGGAAAGGACCTTAGAGATCTTGCTATCATAGGATTTAGAGCTGGAAGGAATCTTAGAGAACATCTAGTCCAATCCCTTCCTTTCACAGATGAGAAAACTGAGATGCAGAGAGGTTAAATTACTTGCCCAAGGACACACAGGTGGTATAAGATGCAGAGTCTGCATCCGAACCCAGGTCTTCTGGTGTTTTTTCCTACTACAGTATTCTGCCTCAGCCTAAACCTGAGGTGAGAGAAGTTAGGGAGAAGGGAGAGCTCCCCATGCCCTTTGAAAAGGCCAAGAGCAGGAACACACGTACGGGGTGGTAGCTCTTCCAGCAGCCCAGGACAGTTTCCTGCACCCAATGGGTGCAGTATCAGTCAGCCTTTGGCTTTCTACCCCAGCCCCCTTTTTCCCCCCAGGGAGGGCTGGGATCTGCTGGATATCGGTGGCCGGACTCCTGGGTCCTGTGCCCCAAAACCCCACGCTTGGGAATAAGATGGGGGGGAGGGATTTTAGGCAACTTCCCAGGGCCTCCCCCTTCCCCTTCCGCATTTTGCAGAAGGGAAGGGAGGAAGAAGGGGGAGGGGGGAGGCGGAGAACGAAAAGATCCCTGGGTTTGGGCACCAGAGGACCTGGGTTCGAATCCCTTCTCTGTCCCTGGCTCGCTGTGTGACCTTGGACCAGCCCCTTCCTCTTTCTGGACCTCAGTTTCCCCCACCTGTCAGACGAACCCCACAGTCTCCGAGGCCCTGGATGGGAGGGCGCCTGATGGAGGCGGGGGGCAGGATGGCTGGGCGGAGAAAAAGAGGGAAGGGTCCTGGTCGCTCAACTGGCCGGGCTGAGCGAGGGTCCGGCCCGGCAGGTGCACCGTCGGCGCGGGCCCGGGGTCGGGGCCCGGGGTGGGGATGCTCGCTCCGCGGAGGCTCCCTGAGGAGACGCCCGCCCGACTGCCGGCTCCCGGGAGCGGGGACAGCCCGGGCCCTACCTGCGCCGCCGCTGCCGCCGCCATGGTCTCTTCCTCCGCCGCCGCCGCCGCCGCCTTCTGTTCTCCGGCTCCGGCTTGGGCCGCCGCCCCCTTCCTCCCTCCCACCCGCCCCCCGACTCGTCCCGGCCCCCTCAGCCGCCCCCCGGGACCGCAGCCGCCGCCGGCACTGCCGCTGCCATTTCACCTCACTGACAGGAGCCTCCGCCCCGCCCCACGCCCGACGGCCGACCCAATCCGGGAGCCCAAAACTCCCAGACGCCGGGCCTACTGATAAGAGTGACCGGCGGAATAGCCAACCAGAGAATACTCCGTGTTTACGTATAAACGTCACCGCCCCTTCAAAAAGGAGCGAATGGGAAGGAGGGAGACGGTAAAGGATAGGTATTTTTGCCTATGAAGATTTGGAGAGTGAATGAACGACATGTAGAATAACCAATAGTGAGGAAAGAACAAAGGAAAGAGGTGTGTCCCCAGGGAGAGGCGGAGGCGCTGCGGAGGAGGCTCCGCCTGCGAGCTGTCTTTTAGTCCTGTGACTCGGGCACCTGAAATAGCCATCAATCTACACCAACCTCGAGCTCCACCAAGGAGTCTGATAGGTGTAACCAGTAAAGACAGACAGCTAAAGCAGCCAATACAGCGTCAAGAAGGAGGGGCGATGTGACCAACCCAACTGCCCGGGTCTCACAGCAAAGGAAAGCGTTTGGATTTGGAGTCACAAGTCCTGGATTCAAAAATTAATCCTCCTAGGTCCTGGATTCAAATACTATTCCTCCTAGTTGCTAGCTTACTGTGTGACCCCAAGAAAACCACTTAACTTCTCTGGACTTCAAAGTCTTCATCTGCAAAATGAGATTACATGAATTGTTCCCTCTCCAGTCCTGTGACTCTGTGGTCTCTGGCACATAGCAGGCACTTTGTTCATTCGCGTCTGACTCTGTGACCCAATTTTGGGGGATTTTCTTGGCAAAGATACTGGAGCAGTTTGCCATTTCCTTCTCCAGCTCATTTGACAGATGAGGAAACTGAGGCAAACTAGGTTAAGTGACTTGCCCAGGGTCAGGCAGCCAGTAAGTGTCTGAGGCTGCATTTGAACTCATGAAGATGAGTCTTCCTGATTCCAAGCCCAGTGTTCTATCCACCGCACCATCTGACTGTCTGCATCTTCTCTGTATAGAATTATCGACCTTGAGAGCAAGGACTAGTCTTTTGCCTTTCTTTGCATCCCCAGGCCCAAGCATAGAGCCTGGCATAGCGTAGGTGCTTAATAAATGCTGGTTGCTTGCCGACCGACTACCAGAGAGCTTCCTGGAAGCTAGGAATCCTACACACAGAAATGCCTTTCCTTTGTTTATCCCACCACAGTTCCTCAAGCTGCTGTTGCCGCTGGAAACATTTTGACAGAAGTCAGGAGCTAAAGTCAGGAAGATGACTTGTTTTTGCCGGCCCTGCAAAGTGAGGAAGGATGTGTCCCCTTGGATAAAGAGAGTTCCTCCCCGGAAATGTCTTCTGCCAGAACAATGCAGTGAAAGGAAGCAAAATGCCTGGGTTCTAGGATCTAGGGCCCCAAAGAAGCAGCCGTGTAGTGTATAAGAAAAAACAAAGGACTTACTTAGAACAGGAGGACTTGGGTTCTAATCCTTCCCCTGACCCACCCTCTGTCTCAAGTCACTTTTATGGGCTTCAACTTTATCTTGTCTATAAAATGAGAATGTTGGACTGGATCAGAGCTCTTTAACCCTTTTGGGTCCTGATCTCCCTCAGCAGACTGGTCAAGCCCATAGACCCCTTCTCAGCAAAAGCTCTTTGAATACATAAAGTAAAATACATAGAATGACCAAAGAAATTAGATTGAAATGCAGTTCTAAAAATGTTAAGGTTAAGAACCCCTAGGACTAGATGGTCTCTAAAAGTTCCTTATGACTGTGAATTCTATAATGTTTTTATCTATATATTTTTTATTCAAGACTTTTTATTAATTTGCTTCTTTTTTTCCAACATCCGTTTTTTATAAGATTTTGAGTTCCAAATTTTTCTCTCTCCCTCCCCTTTCCTCTCTCCAAGACAGCAAGCAATCTGATATAGGTTATACATGTGCAATCATGTAAAACATATTTCCGCATTAGTCATGTTATGAAAGAAGAAACAGAACAAAAGAAAAAAAACCCTCTGTAATATTTTTATCAGATCGCTGCCCACAATGATCTCTCCTTCCTCTGAATGCACTAGATATTTTTGTAATTTTTAATTCTCATTCATTTATTCAATGGACATTAAACACGTACCTTGTAGAGCCCTTTGCTGGGTGTTGTGCAAGACACAAAGTTTACGGGAGACTCGGTGCTCATGGACTGCTTGATCCTAGAAGGGTGAAAACCGATCACTCTAATTACAGGACGGCATTAGAGTCACGGGCAGAAGTTGCAAAGAAGCAAATTTAAGTAAGGAAAAACTTTGCATCTCATGAAAATCTGCCTTGACCTTTTATCTCTTCTCATTTTTCCCCTTCTAGGTCCAAAGAAATGATTCACTAGCAGAGAAAGCCCAGCAGAGCAAATCCTGAGATTCTGGTACAGAAAGGGATGTCCTTTCTCTTCCCCTCCATCATCGGGGCGGGGGGGGGACAGCTTCTGATGAGCTTCTCTTCGGGGACAGAGCAGGAACAAGCAGAATATAAGGGACAATATCTGCATCTTGGCTCCTTCTTTCCGTGTTCTTCTTTTTCCTCCCTGTTTTCTCTAGTTGTCTCTGCTGGAGAATGAGCTGGCAGGGGCGGTCTGAACAGTGAGCTTATCCAGTTTACCAGAGAAGCTGAGGGCCAACAAGGCCAGAGTCATAACCCATATCCTTCAGAACTGACTGAACCCTGGCAGCTACTTTACCAGAAAACTGGTGAGCTGGCTCCAGCACACCCCTGGGTACATTGCTCTCTTGGCTCATTTCCTTAGCGCTCGTAGTTTAAATCACTAAATATGTTGTGATCACACTGGCGGTTTAAAAAAAAATAACTAGAATTAAATCCCTTCTAACTCTCCCTTCACTCTGCATCCATTCATATACATCTTTCCACATGATGAAGTAGCAGGTGCAGATACACTGGGAACTGTAGTCACAACCCTGCACACAGGTGGCCCGGACCACAGGGTCATATTCTCAGTGGACTGAAGCAGCAGTGGGATTGGGTAGCCCCCTGCGTGTCTGAGCAGCCTTTTTAAAGGCCTGCACCGCTCACCTCCTGGTGTGAGGAAGAAGCTTAAAAAAGTGCCCTAAAAAATTGTTTGCTTCACCCAACCCTGACCTACTTACCGCAGTGGGCAGGCATCCTACCCTGTGGTCAAAACACAAAAAAATGTACAAAATGCGCAAGAATTTTTGCAAAGACGATTTCACTCACCTTTGGTACATGTAATATGTATGCACCTATGGACAAGAAACCAGTAGACCTGAAAGATGAAGAGTTCTCATTGCAAGAGAACTCAGTAGGTATCTTACAGAAATCAGAGCTGGATACTTTTTTTTTTTTCTGGAGTAGCCGCAGTGAGGAGGAGTGTGGTGAAACTGGCATTGACTAATCTAGTCAACAAGCTTGTATGCCTCCCAAAAGGAGTGAATGACAGTATGATTTATGATTGTATGACAATATGATTGCCGCTTGCTAGAAAGGGTCATGCCACCATCATCAGTGCATATGCTCCCACTGTGAAGAGCCTTGATGAGGTCAAAGAAAAATTTTATGAAGACCTGGAGACCCTCATCATCAATGAGCTGAATGAGGGCAAGCTTGTAATTCTAAGTGACTTCAATACCAGAGTTGGCACAGACTATCAGACTTGGCAGGGAGTCCTTGGGAGGAATGGAGTTGGAAACAGCAACAGTCATTTACTACTAAAGACTGGCGTATCTCATGACCTTCTCATCACCAACATTGTCTCCTGTTTAGCTAAACACAACAAAACTTTGTGGATGCACCCTCGCAGCAAACATTGGCATTTAGTAGACATTGTAAGGAGAAGAGACAGCTAGGTGGCACGCTGGATAGACTACCAGCCATGGATTCAGGAGGACCTCAGTTCCAACCTGACCTCAGACACTTGACACTTACTAGTTGTGTGACCCTGGGCAAGTCACTTATCCCAAATTGCCTCACCACCACCCCAAAAAAGAGAGCAGTTAACTCTATCAAAAGTAGAGTTCAAGTAAAGCTTAGAGAGATGTGGAATTCTTGGCTCAGTAAGAAGCCAGGCGAAATTCAGTTTTACACCGATAATAACAATCCAAAATGTTTTTATAAATCCCTGAAGGCTATTTATGGGCCAAAGACTTATATGCATCTCGACTACTGATGCGGTGATAAGGACATGATGCTGGAGAGATGGGCTAAACACCTCCATAGTGTTCTTAACAGACCATCACCAAGCAATGCTGAAGCCATTGACTATATACCTCAGACTGTAGTCAATTCTTCTTTAGCCAAACTTCTAACTGAAGAAGAGGTTTTGAATGCCATTAGGCTCCTTTTGTGCGGCAAAGTGCCTGGTGCTGATTTTATTCCAGCTGAGATTTACAAGGCAGGGGTCCACTGCTCACACAAAAGCTGACTGAAATCTTCTGGGTTATATGGTAAGAGGAGACTATCCTTCCAGGAGTTCGAGGATGCCTCCACTGTCCATCTCTATAAAGGAAAAGGAAATAGGTTGTCCTGTGACAAACATTCTCTTAGTCATTGCTGGCAAGATTTCTTGCCAGAGTCCTCCTTAATAGGCTGATCCTTTACCTGGAAGATGGTCATCTATCCAAGAGCCAGAACGACTGATACAGTCGTTGCTGCCTGATAACTCCAGGAGAGATGCCAGAAGCAGAACAGAGGTCTGTACACAACGTTTGTCGACCTGACCAAGATCTTTGACACTGTCAGTTGTGATGGCCTGTGGAAGATCATGGCAAAATTTGGTTGCTCAGAGAAGTTCACCAGTATTGTATGCCAGTTCCATGACTACGTGCTTGCACAGGTTCTGAACAATGGACGATGTTCTCTTGCTTTCCCGGGCACCAATGGAATGAAGCAGGGCTGTGTGCTGCTCCCATGCTTTTTAGT